CATAAGTATTTTGACTCCTTTGGAGACAACATACCTTTTTTTTAGATTTTGGTATTAGTTAGAATAGTCCCCGCCTTGATGAAGGTCTCTAAAGTGTTGTTGGCTATATTAGCCACCCAATGGCAATGGCTAGACTCATTGGATAATTTGATCCAATTTTCATGACACATATGAGCATATGGAGGACCAAATTAGACCCATATACACTCTTAATGGTTTTGAGTTTGGGTTAAATTTGGATTAGGTCTAGTTTGGGTCAATTCATTTAGGACAGACTTAAAATTGATATTTCTACATTTATGTTTGTTTCTAAACAAAGAAACAGACAAATTGCATTAGAGTTTGTTATTATCTTTTTTATCCCATATAATGAGGCACTCGAACTAAAAAGTTTAGGGTGTGCCTATGGTGACATGCATGTCACGGTGACTTGCACTTTCCGGTCGACCTCAGTTAGGATTAGGTCGACCTCATTTAGAATTCGGTCGACCTCATATAGGATCTGGTCGACCTCATTTAGGATTCGGTCGACCTCATATAGGATCAGGTCGACCTAATCTGTTGTTTCAGTGTAAAAACAGTTCATGGTGCCTACTTTGGACATTCATATCATACAATTGGCTAGATGGAAATTGAAGACTAATGACTTGTTTTGAAGCTGGAGTGTCCCTCTACATATTGAAGTGGAAGAGAGCTCGATAGGAAGTCCAGAAGACCATTTTTGAACCTCATCAAAAGGCTATGCCAAAACCTGGAAATTGCCTGGAAATGGCCAAGTCTGGAAACGTGTTTGTGAAGTCTATTTTGGAGCTCAATTCGAGAAGCATGAATGCGAGTCGAGTCCAGGAGCCTCTACCACGTTAAATTAAGTATGTTTTTATGCAAAATTCAAGGCATTGGATGAAAGATTGGACATCTGTAAGGCTTCAAACAAAAGGGTCGAAGTTGCTACGAAGGCTATTTTTCTGGCAGACTTCGACCACAAGCAAGCTGCCAGAAAAACAGCCTTCGTAGCAACTTCGAGCCTTTTGTTTGAAGCCTTAAAGATATTCAATCTTTCATCCAATGACTTGCCTTTGTATAATAAAATATGTGATTTAACGTGGTAGAGGCCCCTGGACTTGACTCGTATCCATGCTTCTCAAATTGAGCTCCAAAGTAGGTTTGACAAACACGTTACCAGACTTAGCCATTTTCAGACAGTTTCCCAATTTTGGCATAGCCTTTTGGTCAGGTTCAAAAATGGTCTTCTGGACTTTCTATTGAGCTCCCAAGTACTTTAATGTGTAGAGGGACACTTCAGCTTCAAAACAAGCCTTTAATCTCCAATTTCCATCTAGCCAATTGTAAGATATGAATATCCAAAGTTGGCACCATGAAACTGTTTTTACACTGAAACAACAGATTAGGTCGACCTAATCCTATATGAGGTTGACCGAAAAGTTCATGTCACCGTGACATGCATGTCACCGTAGCAAAGTCCAAAAGTTTAATATAAGTATGTCCCAAAAACATATTACCCAAACTTGATTAAAATAAGGGTTGGAATCCTACTCAAAATTTGTGGGGTTTTTTTTTGCCCATCTGTAGCCACCCACCTGCTTGCTTTCCGATAAGCAACCCTCCAGTTAGGGGTGGAAATCGGTACCGTATCGGTATCCCAATACCAAATACCGAATATCGAATTACATCCTAAAATCAATCTCAATCTCAATCCCTAAATAATTTTGATATCTCAATTCCTAAATATTTTGATATCCCAATCGGTACTTCGGTATCCCAATCGGTATTATCGAATACGAAATTAATTACATTTATAATTAATAATTAATATATAAATTAGATTTGATTGTTTAATATAGGACAAATAGACTAAACAAAGAGTTTTGAGTTTGACTAGAGCTAGGATATAGATAAGGAGAATCGAGTAGAGGTGACATCTCAAGTTTTTGTCATTTGTAATCTTTAATTTGACGAATTGGAGGCTAAGAGAAGACTAATACTAGTGTTTGCTTTTTGGTGTTATGAAAATAACAATAGAGGTGGTTGAGGGTAGTGTAGTAGTGAATGAGAGAGTCTAGTTGAAAGGATAAACTACACACTAGCTTATATTTCGGTATATACCGATCTCAATCCCGTAATCCCTAATACCGAATAACAATTGAAATTGAATCTCAATCCAAATCTCAAGAAATAATACGTGTATTCGGTAATACCAAATATTGATAAACTTACAGCCCTACCTCCAGTTGTACCAGGTCTCGGGCTTTCTCAACCATTAACCACCACTAAAGGCACCACAACAGAAAATTCAGTCCCATAACCAGACTGTCTGTTAGCCTTACATGCAGTACGTATTTCGTGCAAGCTTGAAGCGTTATTCTAAACCAGAATATCTAAAGTTCTAAACCAGAACCTCAAATCCCAAGCCACGAGGATCAGACATAAACTGACCAAGCCTGCCAAATAGTATTGCTTGCATTGCTGAAACGGGGCAAGTAGGGAGGTACATATTAGGGGTGGGCATCCGGTTCGGGTTCAACTCTCCGAACCGACCAGAACCGAAGCCGAACCGACCGAAACCAAAATTCAATTTGATCGGTTCGGAAATCGGAAGGCAGAAGCTCATGTTTCGGAAACCAGGGTCTGCCAACCGAACCCGAATTCCGATAGACCGAACCGAAAACCGAACTAAAATAATCAACTCATATTTTAAATGAAGCCCACTCTCTCACAACCCAAAAATGAAGCCCACTCTCTCACAACCCAAAATGACTGCCCAGACACCCAATTCCCCTCTCTACTGCAAGCCCAGCCCACTTACTAACTCTAAGAGCCCACCCTAAATTCCTAACCCTAATAGACTCCCATCTCTGCTCCTCCTCAACCCAATCTAACCCCTAGCAGCCGCCGACTAGAATCATCTTTCCCACTGAAGGTGGAATTTTCCCTGACCTCCGATCGCGACCTTTTTTCTCCAATTGCGACTTGCGGCTGACGACCATCGAAGAAGAGAACAAGCTGAGTTCTCCCTCTAAGTTGTTGTCCCTGTCTTCGGAGCTCGAATCAGCGGCGACGCCGCACTCTTGTAGTTGGAGGCGGAGAATTGAGCGGAGGCGAGCATGAGACAGATCTCGTCTTCTGCAGATTCTTCCCGGAGAGTGAGAGACACTGAGGAGGGAGATAGTGGCGGCGGAGGAGGGGGATAAGCGGAGTGAGTTGTAGAGGCGGAGATCGAGGGAGAGAGCGGAGATGCCAGAGAGATAAGTCGGAGACTGATGGAAGGAGAGAGTAGAGAGGCCAGAATCGGAGAGAGAGTTTGGTGGAGGGGTTGGTGGTGGTAAAAGGTGGAAGAAGTTGCAGAGATGGAGAGGTGGAAGAGGAAGAGGAAGCATGTCTTTTGGGTAGAGAGAGGAAGTAGCGTACAGAAAAAAGTGGAAGGCAGAGGAAGAAAAGAGGAAGGCAGGGGAAGGTTGTGGAACTTCAGTTTTGTCGGGATCCCGAACCGAACCGAAATATAACTCGGTTCGGCCAAACCGAACCGAATTATATTTCGGTTCGAGTTTGGTTTCACATGTGGAGAGATCGGGGGACCCGGTATGCTCATTTTCGGTTCGGTTTCGACCGAACCGAACCGATGCCCACCCCTAGTACATATGTTGCGGAAAGAAAGGTACACATAGGCGTTACCGGATAGTGGATGAGTTAGTTAGAAGTCAGTAACCTCCTCAAATTATTACATATAAAATTTGCAATAAATTTAGGAGATAGAGTAATCAGCAAGACCTTAACCCCCCTCTCCCAATTATCACGATTCAAGTCAGATAGAGTAGTCAGCAAAACCTTAACCCCTTCTCTCAGTTATTACGATTCAAATAAGTTCTCCTCATTCAACTTTCTAATTCTGCCACTGTTGCCTGGTTTAACAATCGTAGCATTCACCAAACCAGAAGGTGCTGATAGTAAACCTAGGCGACGATATCATTAGGGTTAATACGTTAGTTTGGCTCGAACTATACACAATTTTCTACTTTGGTCCGTGGTTTCTGAAATTGCTATCCTGCCCTGAATTATGTACCATACTTTCTAACTTGGCCTGAAGCAAGATTTGATCGTCAAATTGGACGGTAAACTGAGTTGACTGTTAGTCAATGATCAGCTCACTTGCCACGTCGGCGAGCACGGAATAAAAAAAATGATTTTTTTTTTGTATTTCTGTATTCATTTTCTTTTCTAATAATAATAATAAACAAAAAAAATAGAAAAGTAAATGAATACAGAAATTCAAAAAATAATTTTTTTATTTCGTGCTTGCTGACGTGACAGGTTAGCTGGTTATTGAGTTGACCGTCTAATTTAACGATCAAATCCAAATCCGTACCAAATTAGGAAGTATGGTACATAGTTCAGACCAGAATAGCTATTTCGAAAACCACAAGTCGAAGTAGAAAATTTGTATATAATTCGGACTAAACTAAGGTATTAACCCATACCATTACAACTGACTTACACACAAAGAGCGGCTCCCTTTACATCTTATCAACGGGGTGGTATGGTACAAGGACCACCTCCTCACCGCCCCGGCCAGCTTACAAAGACTAAACTTAAGCTTAAAGTGTAAGAAACCAAAAATAATAAGTCTGTACAAAATTTGGAATCCCCGGCATTACTATTCGTCGTCCTAAAATACATTATGCGTCGCCCTATTTTTTACCAAAATGACTCAAATATCCTTAATCAAGTTTTGTTTTTCCCGTTCCACATCGCACAGCCGCAGGTTGGAAACCCGTCGTCAGGGAGCTCGGGAAAATCGCCGCTGTAATTATCCAAAAATGAATATAGGCGACGGCAGTTTCTTCTTCCTCCTCCTTGCCTCCAGTTCCAATCGACTCTCATCACTATTTCCTATTATTCAGAGGACTTTACAGATCCGGATATGTTTCGTACCCACCGTTGGAATCGCCGGACGGTCAACCAGTTCGTCGCCTGGAAACATAAATAAAAAAACAAACCCAAATCCTCCTTCCTCCTTCGTTCCCTTCCTCTTGGCTCTTGCTCAGTGCCAACTAAAGAATCTGGCAGCATCAGGACAGTAGGGAAGTGGCGGTGGTCGGGTTGAGGTTTGCTAGGTGCTTGCTTGTTGTGATGCTAATAAATGAATTTAAGTACAAAAATAAAATAATGGACATGTATATATAAGATCATGACATCCAGTGTCTGTCTGTTTCCATTTTTTCTTGTCGGCGATAGGAATCTGGCAGCGGCAGCAGTGGACGGAGGACAGAGGAGTTCTGCGGCGGCTGGCAAGGTAAGGATTGTTTAGGTTTTGGTTAGAAATTGTGGCCAGAGGGTAAAAGGGTCAAATTGGTGCATTTAAGGATGACAAAATTTGAATTTTAGGGCGACGAATAGCTATTCAGCCCAGAACCTCCCCAAATTCTCTATTCCCTCCTTTTACTTTACCCTCACAACATTTCCCCCCGTTTTGTTGCAACAATTCATCACAACATTACAATGTTATTTACTTCACACTTTCCTCCTTATCTACTCCACAGTAATTTTCAGTAACGTGGTGAGTCTGGGCTTCTTGTATCGTCTCAAAAATAAAGAAGAACACACTACACTCACCGATGACAGCGCCATGCAGGCACCTGCTGCCCACGGCGGCAACTCGATCCTCAAATAAGGGAAGAACACCCCAGCAGCTATGGGTATCGCCACCACATTGTACACCATCGCAAACATGTAGTTCAAACGGATGCGAGCAAACGTTTTCCTCGACAGATCGATGGCCGTGATTACGTCCTCCAAGTTGTTCCTCATCAGCACGTAGTCGGCAGCTTCTATTGCTATATCCGTCCCCGCACCAATGGCCATGCCGACATCAGATGCAGCCAGGGCCGGGGAGTCGTTTATGCCATCACCAACCATGGCAACCGTGCTCCCGTCCTTTTGAAGTGCGCGGACCACATCGGCCTTGCCTGCTGGCATTACTTCTGCTCTTACATCTTTAATCCCAACCTGCTTTGGATGCAACGTGCTCTTAGCTCCTCTTCCAGATGATAAAAGTTTCTGGTGAGCCCATTTTTGGTTGATTTAAGATAAGGAATACATACCTCTTTGGCTACTGCACGAGCTGTCCGCCAGTTGTCTCCAGTGACCATGACTGGTTCGACGCCCATTTTTTGAAGCCCTTCTACAACGACAGCAGCTTCTCTCTTCAAAGGATCCGCAACTCCCAGAACGCCAATCAACTTGTCATCAAATGCAACAAGTATGCCCGTCTTTGCAGAATCTTCAAGTTCTACTACAAAACTCTCGGTAGCAGCTGAGATTTCAATGCCATTCTCAGCCATGAGCTTCCGGTTACCCACCTGCTCAGCCATCGTAACATATATCATACAAGAATATACTCAAAATTTTCTACTAGGTTCAGTTCTGCGGACTTCTATCAGAAGTAGAAACCAACACAACTTATTGCAACATCTCCATTAGCCTTACCAGGACTCGTTTGCCATCTATACAGCACTTGACACCCGTTCCAGGTAGTGCAGAGAAATCAGAGACATCCAAAAGCCACCCGGATATTGTTGAATCTTTATTGTGGGTTTCACCATCCTTTGTTGGAGAAGGCCCATCAAAGAAATGGAAGTGCCGTGCATACTCCACTATTGCTTTTGCCAATGGATGCTCACTGCTCGCCTGAACCACGAGAAAAGAGGGAAGCCCTCAAGGCATCAGTCATTAATTTTTACACATAAGATTTGGAAAGGAGGGAAAGGGACAGCAAAATACATAAGAATTGTTTCAGGCAGCCAGCTCATATTTTCATACTACAAGGATGTCAAAGAAAAGAAAATTACCTCTGCAGAAGCCACCCATCTGAGGAATTCTCCACGATCCATTGCTGTGAAAACTTTTGCAGTGGTGACTGTTGCTTTACCTTGAGTTAAAGTTCCAGTTTTATCAAATATCACGTAATTGATCTTTTGAGCCCTTTCCAAAGCATCTCCTCCTTTTATCAACACACCATGCTTAGCTCCAACTCCAGTGGCAACCATCACTGCTGTTGGTGTTGCCAACCCAAGCGCACATGGACATGCAATTACCACCACTGATATTGAAAACATGAGAGAGAAGACAAAGAAATTGCCATTTTCAGGAAGCCACTCTTCAGGATAAGCTCCTATTTTTCCACCAATGTACCTACAAAGAATTCATGAAAAATACTGAGCAAAGAATAGAGTGTTTTCCATTTACTGCCACTTAGATAATAAGTGATCAAGGCCTTACCAGCCCAATAATGTAATCAAAGACATGGCAACAACTGTAGGGACAAAAATGCTAGCAACCTGCCACAGAGAAAGAGATCTAACATCATGAACTGAAATCATTCATGAAACAATAACCCAGACTTCAGTTTCACCAGAAGCAGAAGACGAAAAAATTCAATTTATATAGTCAGGATTTTAGGAAAACTTTGGGAGGAAAGGGGAATAAGACCATAATCCTTTGTTAGATACAAGACGGGTATCATTTGATACACATCAGTTACCAAAACTATCATAACGTTTGCCACGAGAAAACTGAGCCAAAATTTGATACTCACAAAATCTGCAAATTTCTGAATTGGAGCTTTGGACATCTGTGCTGTTTCAACCAAACAAATTATCTGGCTCAGAACAGCATCCGATCCAATTTTAGTGGCCTTTACATGTAGCACACCATGTAAGTTAATAGTACCACCAATAACTGATGAAGTAGCTTCCTTGAGAACAGGCTCCGACTCTCCAGTTACCATACTCTCATTAACATAACTTGAACCCCATACAACAACACCATCTGCAGGAATTTTTCCACCAGGAATAACTTTTAAAGTATCACCAGGCTGAATCAGTAAGGCGTCTATTTCTCTTTCTCGAATGTTTCCACCTAATAACAAATTATATTAATTAATTCAGAGAATAATTATATGACTGAATACGCTGATTTACTGGAAATACGAACAGAATCAGCAAGACTGAGGAATGTTAAGAATACCTTTGTCTTTGTCAACCAGTAATGCAGTTGCTGGTGCAAGTTCTACTAACTTTTTGATGGCATCAGATGTTTTTCCCTTTGCAAGACATTCCAAATACTTCCCCAATAATACGAATGTTATCAACATGGAACTTGTTTCAAAGTAGGTAGGAGACCAGAACCCAGTGGCAGCGCCGTATAGAAGGGCACAAACAGAGTAGAAGTACGAGGCGGAGGTTCCAAGTGCAACTAACACATCCATATTGGTTGAACCATTTTTAAGTGCCCTTGCAGCTCCTACATAGAAGCGCTTCCCAATTACAAACTGAACCACACTCACCAATGCCCACTTCAACCAATCATCCATGATGAACGGTCCACAACGCCAGAGTAGCACAGAATATAGCAGTGGTATATGAGGGCATATCACTCTTATGAAAAAGACTGGAATCTGTAACCAATGGGACAAAAGAGAAAAGAAATGTTAACAAAAAAGCTTTGCTGCTGAATGAAAAAAAAAAAGAACAGACAAGCAGCACTCACACTGAAAAGCAAGCTGGACATGAAAAGTCTGAACATATTGGACGCTTCCTCATTATCTTTAGACGTCATTCTTGCATATGGATTGATAACGTGTAATTTGAATTGGCCATTGCTCCCTTCCTCGACCCCATCAACCAAGGATCTAGAGCTAATGACTTCAGGGTCAAAAAGAACTTCAAGTTCGGTGGATATCCTGTTGTAACGGAATTGACGAACGCCTCTTGATGTGCTAAGTATTCCTTCCAAAAGTTGTGCGTCCATCTCTGTCATTACTCCACTAACTCCCACTATGATTTTGTCCTGCTGACTGCTCTGTACAAGTGCCCCTTCGAAACCAGCATCTTCAATGGCATTCACTATGTCATTCTTATCAATTATCGTGGGATCATACTCAACTTCCCCTAAAGATGTGGCCAGCGCCACAACAGCCCTCTTCACACCAGGAAGATTTCTCAAAATACCTTCAACTGAGTTCACACAAGCGGCACAAGTCATACCCCCAATTGTGAACTGACCCACCAGGGTTTTACTGTCTGAATTTTTCTTCGTTGTAGTAGGTTGAGGCATAACCTCTGCATCAAACCCTGCATCCTCAATTGCATTCTTGACATCATCGTCCTGATATGAGAAGTGAATGGTAGCAATCAAAACTTCAGAATTGATTTCACAAACAAAATTCCTCAGCCTGTTCACATCATATCAGAGAGCAAAGAAAGCAGTCATAGCCAGAGCAAGAACTGAAAATGCAAGTCTATATAACATTCAACTTCGAATCGTATTTGGTGGGTTTTCCTCCCATATTCTGCCATGCCCACTTTAAACTCTAGAGTTTCTTACTTCGGGGACGTTTATCTGGCCATCCAAGGAGATCAAAATTGTGTACGGTAGAGTAGTTCACAGTATAGCCCTAAACCACATGCAATTACTTGCAAGACACAAATTTGAATGAAGCAACAGCATTAATTCTCATTCCCTCGTCATTAAGGAGCTGGAAGTCACTGTCGATTTAAAAAGAATAGACCAACTCCTCTTCTGCCAAAGTTCATCTGAACTTATCCAATGATCCATTAATCAGCAAGGAAAACGAAGGGCATAGACAGCTTCAGAAGGACTCCAAAGCAACACCAACTAGACCCGCAGTTTCGAATTCAGAAAGGAAACTAGCGTGCGTCTTCAAGGAAACGGAAAGCGAGGAGAAAAGGGGGAAAAAACAAGAAGAGTCCAAGTAGGCCAACCAACCTTGACCAAGCTGGGGTCAAACACGACATCGGCCCTGTTCTGAAGCAGCGCAACAGAGGCGGAGACAACGCCATTGACGCTCCTGAGAGCTGATTCGACGGAATTGGAGCAGGCAGCACAGGTCATCCCGGTAATCCTGACCTGAATCCTCCTCATCATTCCCTCTCCTCCTTCCTCGCCTTCTCCAGCCTCGATCACATCATCGGATTCCCGCTGTTCGTACGAGTCCAGGAGCCTGACGTCCTCCATGTCACCGGCATCAGCGTCCTGGCCGCCGGCGACTCGAGCCAGCTGCAGGTCTCTCGCGCCCGGCGACATTATTACCTGCCCCCGAGCAGGACCCAGTCTCGCTCGACAGGAGGTGGGAAGAAAGAGGGGAAAAGGCAACAGAAGAAATTGGAAAGAACAAAATCGAGAAGAAGAAGAAGAAGAGAGGAAAGGGGAAATAAAGAGATACGACAGATCTTTCAGCCGGTGAGAGAATACTGGATTGGAGTTGGAGGGAGACACAAAGAAACTCGAGAGATATATGGGGAAGACCAGCAATAAAATCAAATCAAATGTGCAAAAAACTCTTTATTTTTTAAAATTGTGCAAGAAATTTATAATCTCCCAAGTCCTAATTTATTAGCGCGTTTGTGTTCTATATATTCGGCTCAAAACACTTTCCTTTTTTTGCCCAATATGTTATGGGAAGAAATCTTTTATAATTTTTTCAGGATGCTAGTGTGAGAAGGGAACGTTTAACCAAAGGTTGTCAGCCGGCTTTATTGCTTTAACCACTTTGTCCGATTGAATAAGCGAGTTAAAAGGTTAAATGGTTTCTACTTTCAACTTTTTAATTTGATTGAGTTATGAAAAAATTTATTGTATAGATCATATAATTATAAATATAATTATAAATGATATAAAATCTCATCTAACATAATATAATATTATACTAAAATAATATATCGTACTTAAATTCAACATATAGTGAAAATTCACATACACTAATATAACATTAATATTCAAATATTCAACTTAGATTTCAAAGATAGAATTAGACTGAGAGGAAAACAAAAAAAAAAAAGACGTATTTCGCAAAGTAAAGGGGAAAATAATTATGTGTGACCTCCAACCTGATACCTTTGTAGTGGGTCCTGCAAGTGTGTGAGTCAGTTTTTTCACTGGATCAGAGTCAAAAAAGGTCGAACTTCGAGTTGACAACCTTGCGTTTAACTTAGAATTCAAACACAATGTTTTTATTTAAATATTTTAAGTATATTGTGTGAGTAATCAAATTATATTATGTGAAATAATCTACTTAATCTTCTAAAAATGTCTCTAAACCGTATTAATCTTCGTCTAAAAATATTCTTTATTCTCTATTTTTAGAATTAGATGGCTAGTGTGTAGTGTGGTTAGGAAATATGACGAATATTCGATAGTATAAGAAAAACCATTTTATCATGTAAAAATATAGTGTGGGTCGTTTGGGTGACTCACAATCCATCCACCATCCACCCACATAAGTGCGGGTAGGAGATTTATCAACCCGCAATCCACCCACTACTTGCGGTTCGAATTATTTGCGGATCAACAACCCGCAAATTAACCACCCACGCAGGGACGGACCTAAGGGTGTTTAGGGGTGTCCCGGAACACCCCTAAATTTTAGGAAAACGATTATCCAACTTTCGGTGGTAATTTACGTACGAACAAAAAAAATTATAATTGACAGTGAGGGACACCCCTGAAATTTGAAAAAATGATTATCCTACTGTCATATTTAAATTTGTGTATGAGAATATAAGTGGTAGGTTGGGTAATCAAATCTATAACACTATTCTTATTAATAAACATAATTTCCGTTAAACTACAACTCATTTGTTGTTCGATTTAAAACATTGTGTAAATAGTAAAATGTCATTCCCTATCTCTAATTATTTTCAAATCCTAACAATTAATAAACTAATTTCAAGCTACTCTTAATTTGTATTGATTTTATGGTTGTACGACAAGTGTTGAAAGAGTCTTTCAGCTTTGGGTTACATAAAAAACGAGTACAAATCGAATATGTGATCAGTTCGTGAATGATTGTTTAGTAGGATATATAGAGACAATTGTTTTAACACCGTAGACACCAAGTGTATTCTACAATTATTTCTGAATATGAAAACACATCATGAACTTTTTGTAACCTGTACCTGTACGAGTAAGGTATTTTCTTATTTACGATTTTTTATTTTGTTTATTTTATTTTATTTACAATTATATCTGCCACTGCAGTGCCCTCCCGTCGTTTAGATATCTCGTTTTCTTGTTCCTTTGATTGATCCTTCTTTTCTCGTCCAGTCGGCCAAGGTTTTGCAGAGCGTGAATTACCTTTATATCCTCAGACTGTACTGCTGAATTTGGTGAGTTGTACTTGTACTACTATCGTGTCGACTATGTGGGTCCCGCAATGTCCAAGGGAGCCGGTGTGGCCATCGCTTGCCGCCACCTTCATCTCCCGGAAGGCGCACCTAAATACTACCTAATTCATCCGTACACAACGACTTTTGATATGATTTTCTTGTTAGGTTTTCATTAATATGATTAATGATTAATCCACGAAATCCTTCATTTTATTGTATTAGTGGATTGGGTGCCCATGGCCGTCTTTTCTGAAAACCAAAATTCTTGCAGCTTGCAGGCAAACAATATCTAGTAAGTGTATAATTCTTAATTATGTATTCGTACATAATTAGATTTGGTCATTGAGTTTTAGTGAGGCTAGATTTAAAGAATGCGGTTAAATTTGTATTTTTTTTAATCAACTAGTATCTTCTTTGTTTTAACAATTAATTCGATTCCCATTATAAAAAAAACATTTAATTCCATTTAAAAAAAACAGTTAATTGTAATTTACAAAATGATATAAATTTGGATATATTTCAAGAGAGAGAATAGTGTACCACCAATTACCACTTCTTTATCACCGTCGTAACACATGATACCACTTTGTATCACCTTCGTTTTTTTACTCAAATTTTGAAAGATTTTCTACAGGAGGAATGAATTCATTGTGATCTACATGCCATCATCTCTAACGAGGAACATAGAAGACTTCTCTAACTACAAAATAAGTGTAACTAATAGGAAATTTCACTATGATTTTCCCACTACTTCCCGTTTAAATTTATTTCCCAATCTTACACTGCATGTGAAGCTGGTATCAAGTGAGGTAAACCAGTTTTTGTTCCTAGTAAGGTGGTTGTTGCATCCCGAGTCAAGAAACCACCATAACTTTTCTCCTTTACTCTCCTTAGCACCATCAGCTTCAACACTCGCCATTAGCATAAATCTTCATTCATATCTCCATATGATCTGTGCTTATTAGGATAAGAGCTAGAGTAGTGAGCCTGTTGTTGATAGGTATTCCACTATGGACATTCATTTATGAAATGTCAAAACTTGTGGCATTTGAAACACTCTGCAGTCTCTCTACTCCAACCTCTACCCTCTATCTTTTCCTCTACATGGCTGTCCTCTTCCACCTCTTCCCTCAAACTCATGACCAGTCCTCAGAGCATGGTTCACTCCTCATGCATTCTTCTTATGCAACTTATCTTCAACTACTATTAGTAAACTTTGGAGTGCAACCACTCGTAGCAATTTAATATCTTTTGATTCTTCAATAGAACATACCCAAAAAAATAATTTTTTGGTTAGAGTTCTGAGAATCTTTTCAATTATGTGAACATCAATTAAATTTTCTCCACAAATCCTCACCGAAATAGCCATTATCATAACCCTATCAAAGTATTCAATTATGGTTTCACTTTCTTCAATATACAGAAGCTCAAAATTCCTTCTTAGAGTATGCAATTGAGCTTTGTGGCCCCTAACACTACATTGATATTTCACTTTCATTCAATCTCGCAATTCTTTAGCAATTCCCTTTTTGAATTGCTGACAACTCCTTTCCTGCAACATGTTCTCTGAACCTAGTACTCACCACCTTCTAGTATTCCTTTTTCCATCATAAGGATCCAATATTCAAAGTCACCATCAAATTTTGGTACGCACACCTGTGAAAAACGACTTGATTAACTCATTTCTTTCTCACAATCTCATAGCTTAGCACTCACCCTATGTCCCCTTTTGCTGATTCTCACAAATGAACTCGTGTTTTCCATAATCATCCACGTTCACTCTATATGCAAATGTCACTCACACTTGCTCATAAATTCTCACACAAATCAATATGGATACATCTTGCACAAAGATTTGATACAAATATGAAAGCTCAAAATGAAGGGCAGTCTGATAGTTTATTCAAGTTTAAATAAACAAAGTTAAGTATATGATTCTCTTCCTAACTAATCGGCCATATCCCAATAACTTATTCCCATGAGCCTGGAGAAATTCGCCATAAATAACTGACCTTGACTCTAACTACTTAGCTGAAAACTAGCTTACCACTAACTTCTGCAACTAACCAAAATGTCTAATCAAAAAAACTTTAGGTACTACAATATAAAAAGCCAAATAACAGAGTTTATTCAAATTCAAACTCTTTCTACTTGGCGTCACCTTCCTTTAGTTATTCTTCCTTCCACCGACATGGGTTCAATTCTTCCTCTCAACATTTACATCCATAACCTTACATGAGTGTATATATCATAATTAAAGCACCTCAAGAGTATTTTCTTTTTTGACAAATGCAAGCTCGATTCTTTTTTTTATGGAACCTGCTATTCTTTATTAATCAGAAGACGTGGTTACATTATCCAACCTTAGTTGGTCAATAAGGAATATTGGAGTTCTTTGTGCCCATACCTTTGGTGAGTCCAAGTTTGTTTCAATTTGTGGCTTCATTTTCTTGTCTCCTCACATGCTACCTCATTCCCCTTCTTGATCCCTCAAGAGACATCTTATGCTTCGATAGATGGTACCCAGTTATATATGAATGCATTATGCTTCCTTCAACTTTTAGACTATATTAAGGGAATCCATTTCTAAAACCAGATTATGGAGATGAAATAGTTTAGGCAGTCGTAAATCAAATTCAGCTACTAAAGCCCCAGCGATCTCCGCCTCCCACTCCCCTTGAATCTTCTGGGTTGCTACAAAAAGGAATTTTCCTTCATTATTTTGTATAACTACTCCCAATCCAACTCCGCCTTCCTGTCAAACACATACATCCATGATAATCTTTACGGTGACATGCATGTCATGGTGATTTGCACTTTCGGTCGACCTCAGTTAGGATTAGGTCGACCTCATTGAGGATTAGATCGATCTTAGTTAGGATTAGGTCGACCTCATTTAGGATTAGGTCGACCTAATCTGTTGTTTCAGTGTAAAAACAATTTCATGGTGTCTACTTTGGAGATTCATATCATACAATTGGCTAGATGGAAAATGAAGATTAATTGCTTGTTTTGAAGCTGGAGTGTCCCTCTACATATTAAAGTGATTAAGAGCTCGATAAGAAGTCCAGAAGACCATTTTTGAACCTGATCAAAAGGCTATGCCAAAACTGGGAAACTGCCTGAAAATG